TGCATAAATGAATTAAACTTGATGGTAATCAATCTGTATATATTTGGTTAAGAATGCCATTTATCAGTGATAATTTCTATGGTATATATCAAATGACTTATTGCAAAGATAATATATAAATACAACTATTAAAAGCACTGTATTTTTTTTTTGTTTCCTTAATAAAAAGAGAATTTTCGATAGATCAAGAAAGCAGCATGTTTTGGCAGAAAATATAAAGGACTACTTTGTATCCTTCCAGAATAGACAGCTTAGCACAATTACGTGCGACTTTATTCCAAAACTGTTAAATTCACCAAACAGTTAAGTTAAAATTCACTAAGGTTAAAATTCACTAAAGAAACAGTTTGCTTTATAAAATATGAAGACTCTGAAGAATGTTACATGAAGGTAATAATTTACTAAATTATACTTTAGTACAGAAGAAGGATGCAATATTTAAATATATGTGAATCTATCTGGGTTTTTTCATGACAATTATAGTTTTCACTTGTCCACTGAACAAATATTAATTGGACATTTATTATGTACTAGGATAAAAATAAAAGGATAAAAATAAAAAGTAAGAACTTCTCTCATGGAACTTAAAAATCCCATGAAAAAAACGTCATCCAGTTTACACCCGTTATCTAAAAATTAAACATTTTTATAGGAAGGAGAAGATATAAATTGACAGTTCTTTCTCATTTTCTTTTTTTAATCTTTTTTTAAAGGACTATTACTTTTTTTTAAAAGTATTACTCTTCATAATGAAAAAGATCTTTTCAGTCAAGAAAATGAACTCTAGTGGCAAATAAAATAGAAAAGGACTAAAGTAAAAATAAAATGAGATTTTTTTAAACTCTTTATAATTTTAAATTTTTAACTGCAAAATTATAGATTAAGACAATCTTTATGGGGGAAAAAAGAGCTTAATAACATTTGTCTCAAGCTTTAAAACCACATATTTTAGTGTGGTAATTCCACTTCTAGGAATCATAGGTGCAAAGATTTGGATACAAATGTGTGTATAATCGTAGCAGAGAAAAACAGAAAAAAGCCCAGATATTTGATAATGGAACAAGCATAAAATAATTACAGTTTATCCACAAAACAGTCTATTATATAGTCATTAAAAAGATGTTTGTTGAAAAATTTTAAAGTAAAATGTTTACCATATAATTTTAAGTGAGTAAGGCAAAATATAAAACCATATGTATCCTAAGATTAACTATATGCACAGAAAAACAACCTATCAAAATTTCAAAAATCTACTGGAACTATAATAAAATGTTAACAGTTGCTATTTCTGGGTGAAAAATTGAAATTTCAAAATTCATGGTGGCATAGTCAAAGATTCTGAGGATTCCTATGGTAAAGAAATATATTTGATTTTAATTACCAATCAACTGTAAAATATATGTGACTTTTAATACACCAGCTAGTATAACCACCAATTCACAAAGTCCACAAAAAGGAAACAATACATTTAAGTAAGTGGCTAACACTTGTGGTGTCCTGAAATTAATAATGCATTATAATCTTAAAATGAGAATATAACCAGGCCAAGTGTGATTTACAAATTTTAATTTCACACACTGAAATCTTTTCTCAAAAGATGTTGAATGCTCAATTTACTATTAAAAAATGTTCACAATTAACTACCGACTTGAAACAGGTTTTCTATAGCAAAGTTAAGCAAAGTTAGCAAAGTTACTACAAGTAAAAGTATTAAACCACCTGCAAAAAAAAATTTGGAGATATTTTTGTCAATGTAATAGTCTGAAAGCAGAAGAGTAAAGTTTAGGAATCCAATTACAGAAATGCTAATTTCTCGGGAAAATTTTTACAATCTGAAGTGAACATAAAAAGCAATGTAAAAAAGTATTTTGACTAGGGCTAATCACTCTGGAGCTCATGAGTAACATCACAGTACACCATGGCCTTACGCCAAGTAATAAAGTACCAAATGGAAAATGGCACAAGTCCATGGATTGTAAATACTGTATCAAAAGAAAATAAAGGAAAAAAAAATCTTTCATTAGAGCAATTAAAAATGCAGTTGTAGTACCAGTTCCTGTGATGAATAAATCAGTTCAGCAATTCCAAGAGTGGATAGCCACTGTTTAAACACATTCTCCATTGGCAGTAATTTTAAGTTTAAAAAATGTAACTGTGTTTCTTTAGTTCCTAAACTTTTTTAAACACTAAAGTGTTTTTGGATAGTGTAGTTGGTTTATAACCCTATCACCTGAAATTTTCGTATGTGGCATTTGATGACTTCTACTTGACCCATTATATTATGCAACAGTAGTCAATAAATACAGGTAAATACTACAAGTAAAAGTATTCATACCAATGTGCCCAAACTTAAGACCATAAATTCCAAAGATGTGAAAATCTTCTACTAATCCAACATCTATCATTCATTATTCCATAATTCTAGTTGTCAAATTATTCATACCAAACGAGCACATTGTGTTACACAGCTTACCCCCAATGTTAAGCTGTAAATTCATCAGTGAATTTGAAAAAATTTCAAAAAGAATTTAAAATCACCTAAAGTTGCCTAAACTAGAAGCTAGTCCTTAGGGATGTTCCTATCTCCAGGGCATTGTTTCTCACCTTAATTTACAAAACAATCGTGTTCTATAAGAAGTCAACAAACGTCTTTGCCACTGAAGCTTTTGCTAACTACCATAAAAAGTTGCTAAGAACAACAAACATTCATTATTTCTGACAATTCTAAGAGTTAATTGGGTGGCTCCTCTGGTCTGGGTAAACTTCTGATCTGGGGTGAGATAGTTTAGCATGGTGTCTATCAGAGGTGTGACCACTGGCAGGGTGACCGGAAAGGAGGGGATTTCAGATAAGAGGGCTCACATCCCCTCCACATGGTCTCTCATCCTCCAACAAACTACCACAGTTTTCTTAGCATAACTAATTCAGGGTTTCAAAGAGCAGCAAGAAAAGGCAAGCCCCAGTGCTTTCAAGCCTGATTGCGTCATGATGGTTAATATTCTATTAGCCAAAGGAAGTTACATGGCCAAGTACAAATTCAAAGGATGGAAAACTTGACTTCATCTCTTTTATGGTAGGAGTTACAAAGTTGCTGTGCAAAAAGGGCAAACATACAGTGATGGGAAGAATCTGCAGTCATTTTTTGCAATCTACCACATTGTAAAATGTAGAAGGTATCTGCTCTACAGGGTCCATGGCCAAATAAGTTTCCATAACAGCTCTCTTTTGACACTGAAAAGCTCTGCAGCAAAGAAATATAACTGATTTTATTAAAACAGCATTTCCAAGACTTATGTGGCCACAAAACACATTTTCCAAGAACACTTTTAAAAGTAAAAACAAAAAAAGCAAAACAAAACAACAAAAAAAGGAGAAAACAAATCCACTGACTTCTTCCCCACTATATCATTCCATAGACTACATTTATTCCTCAGAATTAATATCTTTATAGTCTCTTTAAGTTTGTTGTGTACTTTTGTTTTAGCTTGCAGCAATTAAAAAACATTAGTTCATGACCAAGATAACTATTAATATATACACAATGGGCACAATGGGGCAAAGGGCACAAAACTATGCCTGACTCTCTAACAAGGCTCTAAGTTTTCAAATAACTGTAATGTTAGAGCTTTTACAAGGGAGTATCTCAGAAGCAGTAAGACTAACTCAAAAAAGAAAAACTAATGGAGTGATATGATTGAAGTAGAGGGAAAGAATAGTCACAAAATTCCATTCTTCCATCAGAGCTCTCCTAAAACTGTCACAGAGCAATCTGTAAACTTTGCTCAAGCTACGCTAAGATATAAAACTCCTGATGATCAAGCCAAATTTAACAGTCTATCCCCTATCCCAATATGACACAGGACATGCCATCAATGCTTTGTTTCAATGTTCATTTTCCAGAAATATTCATATATTCAAAGAGAACTAAAAGGCCATTTTTTTCCCCAGAATGTTAGGCCCACTCAGGTGATAACTTAGCAGATGATTCACCAATAAAAGGTAGTTTCTGTTGCCCTTGTGGTGATTTGACTGTGAACTTTGCAAAGCATGTCAATGATGAAGAAAACATAAAGGAACCTAAGGAAACATCAGGCATCAATAGTAGAGGCATCATAACTGGATGACTTTTTATTTTTGTTCTAAAATTAGCCTCGTAGACATTTTCTTATAAGACTAAATACGCAATTAGCATACAACCCAACAGTTGTACTCTTGTGCATTTACTCCAGAGAAATAAAAATTTACATTAACGTAATACCTGCACATGACTGTCCATAGCAGGTTTAATCATAAATGCCCCAAACTAGAAACAGACCAGATGGCCTTCAACAGACGAATGGTTAAACAAACTATAGTACAGTCATACCATGACATACTACTCAGCAATAGAAAGCAACAAACTACTGTTGCACATAGCAACTTGGATGAATCTCCTGGGAATTATGCTAAACGGGGAAAAACCAATACCAAATGTTTGCTACTATACAATTCCATTTTACGGTACTTCTAAAATGACATAATTTTAGAAATGGGTATAGGAACAAGCTAAGTATGGCTACAAAGGGGCAAAGCAAGGGATCATTGTGGTGATGGAGCTATTCAGTATCTTGATTCTGGTGATGGGCACACAAATCTTTATAAGTAATAAAACTGCATAGAACTAAACACACACACACACACACAAGTACAAGTAACACCGTGGAAATCTGAATAAGTTCAGTGATTATATCAATATGAATACACTGCTTGTGATACTGTAGTACTGTTTACAAGATGTTACCATGGGGGGGTGGGGGTGGGGGAGTGAGTGAAGAATACACAGGATTTCCCTAAAGTATGTCTTATAACTACACTGAAGCTCCAATTACACCCATAAAAAATTTTAATTTTAAAAAAGTGTTTTTTGAAGTTTAGCCTAACCAGTTGTTTTCCTGGAGTCTCAGTTTCTTCTAGAGTTCTATTCAAACAGTGTAGCTAGCATGGGAGCACAAATGACTTACATTTGGTACATCAATTGCTACTTCCCTCATCGCACTGGGCCTGATGTCATTCATCCCCTCTAAGAAATCATTCAGAGTAATCTTCACCAGCCCAGCCATCTTGCTATCAGAGAGATTAGGCTGTTTCTTCAGGACTCTCCGCAAGGCATGGAGACCTGTAAAGAGAAAAGTAATACAAGATTTATCTTCTGCCCCATAAATACAGACTGAATCATTACCAAAAAACTAATAATAAACCCAAACTTCACACATATTATAGCATTTAAAATTGTTTGTGCTTGTGTGTATATATGGAGGTGGGGTAGGTGCCTGAAGAATATGGGAGATGAAGGCAAAAATCCAAATGCTTAGTTGGGGCAGTAAAAATATGACAAACGGATATGAAATATGAAAAGACAGATACTTCATAAACATGAAATAAAGCTTACCAAAAAATCCACAAAAAAGACCATAAGGAGTTATCTAAATAACCTAGGGAATAACACAACTCTTGCTTCTGCCCTTTTTATTAATGCATTCAACCCAGAGTTATAAATTTTGTAAGGTATTGGCAGAATATCTTAAAGGAAATATTCAGCTGGCAGCTGGAAATGTGGTTTTGGAACTCAAGAAAAAATCAGACTTTAGAGTTGTGTGCATACACATGAGATCTGATATTACAGGAACAGGAGAGACCTATAAAAAGAGCCTAGAAAGAGACCAGTGATGAAAAAATGAGAGCTAAAGGCTCAATCTTAAGAAAGCCCATCATTTGAAAAGCATAAGAAATGATGGTTTTTAAAAAAGACAGAATACAAAGAGATGGAGGAGTAGAATCAGAATAGTAAAATACTGCAGGAGCCAAAAAGATGTTCAACCACGTCAAATGTAGAGAAATCAAGAATAACTTTAAAAAGATCATGCTGACCTGGAAAGTGACAGATGCAAATTCTTTATTTTTGCTATTTGCTTGCAGTTTAAACACTAACAGAACTAAACATCCTAATTCCCCTTCCTTCATAACTAGGTTGCCAGATTTAGAGCCCTTTGACCTGTGACAAAGACCTCTAGGCAGCAGAGTCCCTATCTATGTGCTCTTTGCCTGAGAGTCTTTAATAAAGTGAGACTTTTGTGTTCCAGTGAATGATGAAGGTCCACTTAGAATTCCGGTCTCAGACACCCCTTAGAAATTCACTGAATACACGAACTTGTCCTGGGACACCAGCTAGCTCCATCACGTTAAAGATCTTTTGTCTAAAACATGGATGCTATGCCTCCATGAATTTTTTACAAAGATAAAAAGATATCATAACTATCATTTTACTTGCTTTCATATATTTGAACTTTTATAGAGAAACAGAAGGATTGATGCAACGAGGGCAGACACAAACTCCCAAAACAGAAGTTTAGGTATGTTTGACTAGTAAGAAAAAAATGAATACCTCAACGATAGAGAGAAAATCAATCTATAGCAATCTTTCCCAGGAAACTATCAGTGTGAATCTAATATTCATGGAGGACTCAGAGATAGTAAGCTAACCTGCAAAAATAGCTACATAAGAGGAAACTGAAGATACACATTAAAAAAAAAAAATCATTATTTTCTACAGAAAATGTCTTAGGTCATCTTACAAACACCCAGTTGGTTTTTCTGCCTTCCAAAATGCTGAAAGATAATTATTTACATCACTCTAGCATTTCTGCTTATCTTTTGAGCAAAAGCACTGTCTCTGTTCCAGATATATTTTCAAGGATGTTTGTACACATGAAGATAGACTGTCTCCCCGCAAAGCAAACAGCAGACATGCTTACTGTCTGATACAAAAGATTCAGGTTCCCTGAATTCAGGATTCTCCTCCTATAATGTCTTGTCTGGAAACAGAAGACACCTAGCCCTCTTCATGTCACTCTGTGAAAAGTGAGGCTCAAGGAACTGGTTCAAATGCTGCTGCTCTGGCTACTTCTGTTGCTATAGTATTCTGGCCTTTGACTATGACCCAGGATTTTTTTTTTTTCTTTTTTAAATAGGTCCTATGCCCAACATGGGGCCTGAACTCACAATCCCAAGATCAAGAATCACATGCTCCACTGACTGAGCCTGCCAGGTACCCCATGACCCAGGAATATTGTATCTTCTGCAAGCACTTGGAAAACTTACTAGCTTGCAGGCAGAGTATAAAAGCTCAGACCTTCACAACTCTCGACACAAAAATAAAAGTTAATATTAAATTAGGTTGTTTCATTGCCTAACATACCTTTTAGTTAAATGGTACAGTAGTGTAAAAAAGAAACCTAAACGGATAAAACTGCAGTAACTAAAGTGCTGTGTTGTATTAAGCAGCACGTTGGTGGCCCAAAAGAACTTAAGAAATTCCTATAAATCTTACATAAATGGAAGTAATCAAAAGAATCTGACTCTTCTTCATGTCTCAAATGGCTCTCTAGCAATACTGGTCAACATTTTTAATTTAAACCAGATACCTCACTCTTAACAGAACCGAGATACTAAAAACTGAAACAAAGGAAGCAGTCAAATAATTTCCCTGCCACATTTGTGACATGTAAGCATAAAGCTTGACAAGAAAGATCACTTATTTTCATGGGAGGAAGGGGTTTGGAAAAAAGACAATATACGGTTAAACCATTTACAATAAGAATATATTTATAAACTAGCAAAACATCTGTGGATTTCAAATGCAAACTACAGAATTTAGAGCTAGACAAAAAATTCCACATCTATGAAGATAGCAAGAAAAAGAGAAGTAATTCCCAAAGACAGAAAAGGTGAAAAAATAAAGACAGGAGTTTTCAAAAGTTAAGAAATAGTAAAATAGAAAGACTGATTTTGTGATGAACATATCCAAATGACCACAAGCTCAGAGAACCTAATCAACTTTTAGGAGCTCCACTTTCAAATATGAGAAAACACCCAAAGATCACTAGATATCTAAGAAGGCCTTAGATAGAGATAAGCACTATAATAACAAACAAAATATATAGACCAAAAAAAAAAAAAAAAACGCACCCTAAAAGAACCAGCAATAATGTAAGAAGAAAAAATACAAGAGCGGTGGTGCCCTGAAAGGACTGCAAGCCAACTGTGACCCAGAGAGAGGCTGGCAAGGTTTTGCCTCCCCTCCCCAATAAAACCAAGAACTAGTCTTTAAATAGAAGTAAAGAATGTGCTCAAGATTAGCTTCTAATGAAGTAATAGGATCAATAAGAGATGCTGAGCAGAGGCTGAGATAACCCTGGAGCCCACTAGGACCATGCAGAGGTAGCAAGGAAGGAAGCATGCAGTTAGTATGAAAGAGTACACAAAACACTCTACTTCTTTCTTGTAATTGTCTCCCCTTTTCTGTTCATTTTTGCCCAATCTGTATTAAATATTTCTGTTTTCTAGGGCCTATTATTTTTTAATGACAATGCCTGGCTCATTATTTTTCAACCTTTCCTCATTTCTAATTTAAGAATTTCAGGTTATAAGTTCCCCTAGAAGCATTGCTTTAGCTATATATCCATAAATTTTGATATATCTGCATTGTTTAATACTAAACAGCTTTTCATTTGCATATTATAATTCAACCAATGAGTTATTTAGAGTTTTCTAATTTCCAAACTATGAAATTTTCTAACTTATTCATTTTTAACTTAAGTGAATTTTGGTCAGAGAATAAGGTATATTAAAGAATATGTTCATAAATGTTGAATTAAATGAATTCATAAATGTTCTTTGTATGCTTCAACATATATGTTGCTGGTGTCAGCATTCTAAACATATATCCATTAGGTCAAGTTTTTTATTTTGTCGTTCAAATCTTCTCTATCCTCAACACCACTGACAAAGATGCATTAAAATTCTCTCACTAAAATAGCTGTTCTGTTCATTTCTCCTTGTAGTTACAGAAAGTTTGCTTTATAGATTTCATAGTGACCTTTAAAATAGTTATGCCTTCCTATGCCTTCCCAACAAACCGAAAGAATACGCAGTACTCATCTTTATCAGCGGGGATGCTTTTTGCCTTACTTGGTCTAACGTTAACATGACTGTAATCTAATCCCTACCTTCTTTTCTTGGGTTTTTTCACACTGATTTTTGTTTTGTTCTTTTTTACATTCCATTTTGCCTTCTACTAGCTTTGAAGGTATATACTCTTTTTCTATTATTTTAGTAATTATACTGGAAATGTTAATGCATGTATTTACATGAACAGAGCATAGTGAATCAAAGAAAGTCAATCATGAAGCTGTCAGGAAATTAATAGGAAGAGCAGTGAAATAGATATTATTCTACTGCACAGAGGGTTTTTAACATCTAGGAGGAACATCTGTTTGTTTCTTAAATCTTTATTTTGTCTGTAGTTAATTCTGCTCTCTGTATTTTATCTGTCTCTTTTTAAAAATATTTTTTAAAGATTTTATTTGTTTATCTGTCAGAGAGAGAGAGAGAAAAAGAGCACAAGCAGGGGGAGTGGCAAGCAGAGAGAGAAGTGGGCTCCCCACTAAGCAAGGAACCCAATGTGGTACTCAATCTCAGGATCCTGGGATCATGACCTGAGCTGAAGGCAGCCACTTAGCCAACTGAGCCACCCAGGTGTCCCTTCATTTGTATCTTCTTTTCTCTTCACCAAAAACACTAACAGTATGCTCCTGTCTCTTGAATGGACCTTCTTCTGACTTCACAATCTTAAAAGTCTTTCCAAAGAATGAATTTTTTTTAATCTTTGTTGTTCTGTTCTCTATTCCATTAAATCTAACCTTATATTTTTAGTTTCCCTCCTCTTGGGTTTATTCTACTGATTTCTTCCAAATACTCAAGCTGAGTGCATTTATTTTTAACCCTTCTTCTTAATAAAATATATTTGTTATGATTACATCTTAGAGAATATTTAAAACATAATTTTACTATTCTATTCTTAATATCTAATTTGCCATATGATGTCTTTTATAGCTCAGAGAGATTATTTAAATATATCTGATTTAGTTTTCAATTGTACTACTTATTAAATTACTGACACTTAGCTTGAAAATCATACTTCTATACCTAGCTCCAGGGCTGACACTGCAAACTACTTTTTTGTTCCATGGTAGACTTTGCCAATGATAGAGCAAATCTCTAGAGGAAGACAGCAAAGCTGAAGAGGAAGAAGGGACTTGATGTCCCATAGACTTCCTA